CCAGGTTCGTCGAGAACGAGGGGAGGTGGAAACCCGACAACGAGCCAGACGGAACCGCCGGACAAGGGAGCACAGTGGTGGACTGGGCAAGGACTGGGCCCCCAGAGGGGTCAGCCAAGGAGACTGGGACCGGTGCAGGAAGCGGTGTGAGCTCAGTACTGTCACGAAAGAAACAGCGGGAAGCACCTGAGTCAAGGGTGAAGGTGTGACAGGCCTCAGCCGGTGCGGTACCTGAGAGAGCAGTCTCTGTGGGTGCTGTACCTGAGAGAGCAGACTCGCAAACAGCCGGGACAGCACTGGAGGGAGCAAGTACAGGGGGCACCATACCAGAGAGAGCAGACTCACTAGTACCCAGGGCAGCGGGCTCTATACCTGGGTCAGGCAGCACACACAAGTAACAGTCTCCCTCGGCACTAACAGTCAATGCATACATGGCAGCAATAATAGCATCATAGTCAAGAGCAAAGATATCAACACCAGCCCTCATGAGCTCAGCCCAGCGGGGGCGCTCAACATCCTCGCCCATCTCCTCACGCCAAGCGTCGTCAAGGCGGGAGAAGCAGCGGTACGGGGTGTGGAACCTCCCACACGTCTGTCCCTTGCGGTCACCTGTGCGAATGACATAGGAACAGCGGCCACTGCCCCCCGACGTCCCACGCTGAGCAAGCCACTCACGAAGCTGTTGGGTCGTCTGGGGACGCTGCTGCTGCTGGGAGCTCTGGCCCGAGCCAGTGCCTCCACTCCGACCTCCGCCGCCACCACTACCACCGCTCCGACCGCCACCGCCACCACCGCCACCACCGCCACCGCCGCCACCGCCGCCGCCGCCACTACTGCCACTGCTTCCTCCCCGCCCGCCTCCACCGCCGACCCCACTCCCACCAGCGCTCCCGCCACCGCTCCCTCCAGCACCGCCTCCCCCCCCACCTCCCCCACCTCCTCCCCCCCCAGCGCCACCCCCGCCACCCTTGCCCCCCTTGCCCTTGCCGGTGCGGCGCCTCCCACCAGGAGCAGAAGCAGCGCCAGCAGACTCAGCACCAAGGAAGTCAACAGCAGCAGCAGTAGCGTAGGAGGGAGCGAGGGGAGAGGGAGAACACCCCTCAAAGATGGGGGTGCGAGGAGCGCCACGAGCAGCACCGACAGCTACAATGCTCTTTTCGGCCGCTAGCAGCTGCTCCTCTAGGAGGGCGACTGTGAGCTCAGTGGGACAGCGAGCAAGGAAGTGGTCTCGAACTGAGCTGAGGGTGTCAGGGAGACGGGTGACTATGAAGTGGAGTGTCCAGTACAGTGGAGGGGGATTCTTAGCGCAGAACTCGGTGGGAAGGGCGGCACGCAGGCGAGCATCACTAGTGCGAAGGTGAGTGATAAGATCGGCGACTGTAGCAAAGGTGGACAGCTCAGGGAACAGGTACGGCAGCATGAGGCGGCTAAGCTCGGCTGTGGCAGGCGAGGAGTAGCGAGCAACGACAGCATCGTACAGGGCCTTAGCGGATTTGCAGTCGCCAAAATGCTCGAGCTCAGCTAGCGGCAGGTGACTGCGAATGGCTAGGCGAGCAGCTGCGTCACGAGTCTGCCAGTGGGAACGAACACTAAGCTCAGCTGTGGCAGGAGGGGCAGGTGCAGCACCAGACGCGTAATCATAGAGCGACACATGCTCCTTGCTATCGCTCAGAAGGAACAGCTGCAGGTCATCCAGCCAAGTGGCGAACTTCACAGGGCGGCCCTCAGCATCGAACGACAGCACGCGGATGGAAGCCATAGCGACAGTGCGACTGAGCAAAGGAAGCTGCCGCAGCGCTGCAGGTAGGTAGCTCGGCGGGAAGCGCGGCGGGCGGGCGACGCTGCAAGCGGGCAGCGAGGCGGGCGGGCGACGCTGCGAGCGGGCAGCGCGGCGGGCGGGCGGGCTGCGAAGCGGGCAGCGGGCGGGCGGGCGACGCTGCAAGCGGGCAGCGGGCGGGCGGGCGACGCTGCGAGCGGGCAGCGAGGCGGGCGGGCGACGCTGCGAGCGGGCAGCGCGGCGGGCGGGCTGCGAAGCGGGCAGCGGGCGGGCGGGCGACGCTGCAAGCGGGCAGCGAGGCGGGCGGGCGACGCTGCGAGCGGGCAGCGCGGCGGGCGGGCGGGCTGCGAAGCGGGCAGCGGGCGGGCGGGCGACGCTGCAAGCGGGCAGCGGGCGGGCGGGCGACGCTGCGAGCGGGCAGCGCGGCGGGCGGGCTGCGAAACGGGCAGCGCGGTAGGCGGGCGACGCTGCGAGCGGGCGGCTCGGCGGGCGGGCGACGCTGCGAGGGGCGCGCGAGGGCGCTAACGAGAGGCGCACGAGGGCGCTAACAAGGGGGCGCGAGGGCGCTAGCGAGGGCGCGCGAGGGCGCTAACGAGAGGCGCGCGAGGGCGCTAACGAGGGCGCGCGAGGGCGCTAACGAGGGCGCGCGAGGGCGCTAACGAGGGCGCACGAGGGCGCTAACGAGGGCGCACGAGGGCGCTACGAGGCTAGGGCACGGGGTAGCGTGGTAACCGCATGCGAGCGGTGGTGGGCCCTTAAAAAAAAACGGTCGGTAGGTCCTAGGGACCTCCTGCTCTGAATACCATGTTAACAGAACTAGGCAAGAATGATGCATTGAAAGAAACAGTTGGGTACAAGTAGCTAACCCTAGTTGGGTTTGTACCCTGTATTGGCTACCCCACTACAGCCTACCTACATATAAATAACACATTACAACTTAACAGTAAGCAAAGATATTTCTGCCAGGTGTCATTCTCAATATGTGAACGCCAGCTTGCCACGTGGACCAATCAGACAAGACTTCGCGTGTGCGAAAATTGAATACTACTGGCCGAGAATTTGTCTGAACAGTACAAGCGGACCATTCGTTTCAAGGATTATTTGTTACAGGTGGGGTTGGAGGTAATCTACAATATTATGGACGTCTGCATACATATGATGTATACACATTTAGTCAACACGAAACACCTAAAACCAACAATCACTAAGCGTCTGGTTCTACATGTAGTCACACAGGGCGAAATCATGCTTCGTTTTAAAGCCTGCAAACACAAAGACGACATAATGTTAGACCTTGGTTAGTCATATGCTTGTTCCCCACCTTAGTGACTTATCACCCAGGGCCTTGACGTAGATAGATAATATTGCCGTCAATGTGCTTCACAGGGCCTGGATCTTGATACCCCCCTGCATATGAAAATTAACATCTCGTGACTTCCATTAACCCTGCACATGAATATTAAACCTGAAACACGATGACTAAGAACAACAAACATGAAAACGTTATCGTTAAAGCCTACATTCCAGACAACATGGGTTAAAAACGCGCATGGTTCTTATCAGAGGCAGAGAGAGACCTTCGCGCGACTACCACACCTTCTCTCTCATGCAGAGAGCGTAGAGACGATTTGTGTAGTGGGAGGCTGCACAGGAAAACAACAACGAACCTGTTAAAGGTGGCACAGGCGTGCAATTTGAAATGGGAGGAAATAGATCTGCATTCATTATGGGAAGAAATGAACCAAATCGAGAAGAGAAGAAGCCTAAAACGTGAGAAGAAATGAAAGAGTGAGGATAAGAACAGGAGTGATGGGCGTCACATGATTCAGTATGCTTACAAATTTCAGTATGCAGCTGAACGTGTTTAGTACACACACCGGCGCTTTCCGCGCCGAACAAGGCGCTTCCGCAGCCGGGCAACGAGCTTTTCGTCGCTGCGTCCGTAGGTTGACGGGTGCTGAGTCCGCGGCGATTCGCGCGCAGAACGTCTTCCGAGTGAGTTGAGCAAGGCGACGAGCTGTATATGGGACGGGAGGTAGAAAAAAAGGGTAAAGAAATGAAAGGATGAGACGGTAGATCTGGGCAGATGTTGAAGGATTGATACTTCATACACTAGTTTATTAGATACACAACGTAAGACGTACGTTCTACGGTATACGCTTGCTGAGGGGACGGCAGAGACACGAGGTGGGTCGAAATGGAACAATAACCTGAGCAAGATGTGTGAACATCAGCTGGGCAACTAGCGGTTTAGGGAGAGATACACTCGTAGTGTGATGCTTCTAGAGCTCCAATGTGTGATGATGTGTCGTCACGGATGCCGTAGATTTCTGGTTTAGGTTAGACCACACCAGTAATTGGTCATTAAAAAATCGTGAGGATAGCTCAATTCCGGTTACCTGTGGTTCGGAGAAGCCACGTCACTTGCACAGAATCTGAACACTTTGGGTGTGACATGGAACTGTGTGCCAGCTGCCAGTTACGATTCTGGCTTGTTTTTTCGCGAGCCTCGTTTTATTTTGTATCCCAGTTACTGTGCTCGCAACGTTCGACAATGCCCACCTGATTCGGGCTGCAGTGTTCCTCAATCGTACACCAGCACGGGGGACTCAAGAGATTTGGTCGTGACCAGGTGTGCTGTTCGGTGAAGATGATTCGAAAATGATGCAATAAATTCGCGGCTCGGGTAACCCACGTATCCACAATTCGCGCCTCGGGTACCCCACGTATCCAACATGCGCGGCTCGGAAGCCACATGTATCCGAAATTGGTGCATGTTCCATTTTTCACTCAGAGCTTTTCGGATACTTTCTGCAACGTTTCTGCAACTTCCCTGCAACCTTCAGACTTAAAACTCGAATTTGAGCCAAAACCTTTTCCGCGATGTGAGCTTTAGCCTCATCCCGCTCTGTGACTGCCACCGCTACTAACCATGTCGTCTACGGTGAATCTCGTCTTGGCATCGAGCCGGATTACTCTCATCGCCGGTTTCGTCGCCGTCTCTGTACTAATGCCTTCTGGGTAGGCTTTCAGACGCTTGAGAGAACCTTTTTCGCGCCGCGCTTTCCCCTATGTTCGCAAGAACTGCGATGCGCCATGATCGATCGGATCCGACCGCAGTTGTTGTTTCAGCCACCAGCACCAGCTCTTTCCAGCTGATTAATCAGCAACGATTTAGATACAATTTCTTATCTCGTGTGTCAGGTGCTGGGCTCAGAGCACCATGAACACGACTTTCCACAGCGATTTCTTCGAAGGCGACGTGCGCGTCGTCGTGGGACCCAATCGTAACCAGATCCGCGTCGAGGTTCGTTCGTTCGTCTCGCTCGTCTCGCTCGTTTCGCTCGTTCGCTCGTTCGTTCGTGCTGCATTGCCATCCTCGAGCCACAATGTGCCTACATTCTGACTCATCGTCCTGCTTTTACCCTATCTACGTGCGATAGCTATCCCGTTCACGCCGTCGTGATCGCTCTTACTGATGCTAAACTCCGCTGCAGGCGGACTTGCCGGGCTGGGCAAAGTCGGTCACACCGAAGAAGGAGTATCTGGTGGAGACGTACCCTTTTCCGTCCAGTGAGTGACAGAGAAATAAAGGCGAAAATAATTCACAGAATATTGGCTCCAATTTAATGAATTACATTCCCCCCTACACGCTTTTCTCTCTCTTCCATCTTCCTCCGCTTTCCTTATCACCTTCTGTTGTTCTACCATGTTCAGTCCGTTTATTGTCAAACATGTACTGCATTTTACAAGTTCTTTCCTCTTGCCTGCTTTCGCCTGTCTGTACGCAGGCTTCTCCTCTCTCACGGACGTTAAGCATGTCATTATGACCTTCGCCCCTTCCAACTGCTACCCCATCTGTGAGTGTGAAGTGATTTTGCAAAGTAACACATGCATTCGACTGTAGCTCGCAATTTAAACTACCAACAAGCATCAAGTCATACCCCCACCATTCACTTGGCCCTCCCCTCTCCCACTTCACCTTAACTTCTATTTTCAAACCCACCCTGTCTAGCCATGGTTTATTGATTCAAGTGCACCTTTTCCTCTCTCGTCCTTTTCCTTCTCCTGCAGACAACACCACCACCAGCGTAACTGCCGAACAAGCTGTTCCCGCATACCTCGACTCGGGTCCCGATGTCTGCCTCTCCTGCTACCTCTACCTCACCTTCTCCTTCCTGGACGAGGCCACAGCGAGTCAGATCGGCAGCGAGTGCACGGAGACGGACAACGAGAAGCTGCGCGGGTATATCTGCTCCACGGACGAGGGTGCGGATGTGACGGTGGCGCAGGCGTTTGGGAGTCCGCCGGTGGTGAATGGCGGCGGGACGTCGGTGGGGTTTCTCTATACGGAGATGTTTGTGCGCCAGCCGGCTGGCTCCACCATGCGCCTCCCGTCGATTCCCGTGGATCCCCTGTGAGTTTCCATAGTGGTGCCTCCGTATTCTGCTGTCGTCTCTGGTTTCTTCGTTTCTGATGGTTTCTATGGTAACCTCTGGTCCTACGTCAGTGGTTTTTTCTCTATGAATTGGTTGGCATTTTCAAGCTGTTTGCTCTGCGTTTCAATGTGTGTGCATGTCTGTACGTGTGTGTGCATGTCTGTACGTGTGTATGCATGCGTGTACTTGTGTGTGCATGGCTGCATGGTGGAATCTCACCAGGGCCATGAAGGGAATTGGGTATATCATGGTGCCATCCAAGGGGCCCACTCCTCTCCCTGGAACATTTGACGCCATGCCCTTCATTGCAGGCAACAACAGCAAGGTGAGGAACTAAAGGAGTCAGACTGTGCAACTTTTAGAGGTTAGCCAGCAGGAGGTTCAAGTTCAAAAGCAGCATAGGAAGTCTGTGACTCTTCTGCAGCACCATATTTGATTGCTTCGCACCACAAGCACACAATTCTACACAAATCCAAATGCGACGACAGGAGTTTTTTAGTGTTTCACAATTCGCCCTTATTTCTACTTTTTTGCACATCAAAGCCTCTCAATTCCACTGAAAACCTTGCAACCCTCCCCCTGTCCTTTCCCTTCCTCATCCACATCCACCAGGCTGTTGGCATTGGTCTAGTGTTTCCAATCACCCTAATCACTCAGGCATCTCTTGCAACTACCCCGTTTAGCAGTAACACAAAGCAGCCAGCCACGTCCACGGCCTTTCCTGCCCTCTCCATGAGTGCTCCTGCCAACCAGTCGCTCACTGTCAATGCCACCGTCGTCCCCCCTGCTGCCTCCGCTGCTGCTGCATCCCCATACAACATCACGTTCTCCATCGGCAAGGATGCATTTTTGGTAAGTGCTTTGTCTCCTCGACCGTAAAAGAGCTGGTATAAGTCAGTTGAATATTGATAGTTTGCTGATAAGCTCTTATTTTGCGTGTGTTTCTGCCTTCTTTTTTGCAGAGACCAAAGGCATCTTGGATGATGATGATGATCGCCCTGCTCGTCCTGCTGGCTGTCCTGTAGTTCCGTGAGCCAACCACACGCTCTTGCAGGATGACACTATTCTGAGTATGCTATGGAATTGCATACACTGTTAATAAAGTTGATGGGAAATACATGTTAGTTGCTCAAGCATTGCATCTTGAATAATAAACCACCCCCAATTGAAACCTCTTGGTTTTGATTTACCGCATACTGTTAGACGTACCGCATGGCTTAATAACGGGCAAAGGCAAGAATATGGGCGACAACCTTGGCAAATTTGCCTGTTGATGAACATTTTCCTCAGACAAGGGGAGGGAGGTAAGGACAAAATTGTGTGGTCTGGTCCTTCTAGATGCACTCATCGCTTCACCGATCAAGGTGCTTCAGGGGCCGAATTTCCGGCTGGATGCGTGGACAGAACATCTTCCGCACGGCGCGGCACCACCGATGAGCCAGTTTGCTGGTTCGTGTGCGCTACAGTGCGACGCGCTTACTAGGCGTCGCACTGTAGTTTCTGACGACGTCCGGCAGCACCCGCACCCGCCCTAACAAACCAACCGGCGTTTGGTGTGAATCGAAAGCCCCAGGCTCGCACCACTGTGGTAGCCAGTGAGTGACACCCTGTCCTCCGCGTGACGGATGGCGGTCAGCTAAGGAAGAATGATCGCACCGCACACGTCGAAAATCGTGGCTGGGTATGAAAGTGGGTCTGGTGTAGCTTATTGCGAACATCTGCTTCTTTTCTCCACCAATCTTGCTAGCCTCTTTCCACACCGTGACTAGCACTGTGCTATGGCCTCAGCTATGGCGTCTATGGCGAAGCTCGCGTCGGCGTCGAGCCGCATTACTCTCCTCGCCGGTTTCATCGCCGCCTCTGCGCTGATGCCTTCTGGGTAGGCCTTCAGATTACTAAGGGTCCTCATCCAATCTGCATTTTGCTTGCAAAGAGATACGACACGCCATGACGATAATTAGTTTCAATATTTCCAGCGATATTTAAGTTCAGTCTCTATTCCAGAGGATTAATTTAGCACTGATTCGCATGTATCCGGTATCTCGTGTGTCAGGTGCTGGGCTCAGAGCACCATGAGCACTACGTTCCACAGCGACTTCCTCGAAGGCGACATTCGCGTCGTCGTGGGACCCAACCGTAACCAGATCCGCGTGCAGGTTCGCTCGTTCCCTCCTCCCTTCCTTCCTTCTTTCGTCGTTCGCTCTTTCGTTGTTCGTTCGTTTCGTGTTCGTTCGCTCGAGCCCTCTTCGCAATGATCCACCTCCGTCCTGACGTCTAAACGTCCTGCTTTTTCTCTACCTACATGTATAGCTCAGACCCCGGGGGTGCACGCGTTTTCCCCTTTTGGCGTCGTGATCACCGCTACTGATGCAATTTTCCCCTGCAGACCAATATGCCGGACTGGGCTAAGGCGGTCACCCCCAAGAAGGAGTACATTGTGGAGACTTACCCTTTCCCGTCCAGTGAGTGACAGTAACAGGAAAAGTAAAAACCAAGAATGGATATGCTGTTTTCACAACTGGCAGCGCTGTGAATGTGAGCGCCAGTGAGCGGCATTGCCGCCATTTAGAATGTGATTCCCCCTTCATATCACCCTCCTCCCCTCTCCTCACCAACCCCTCTTCCAACCTTCCCCTACCACACATTCATTTTCAGTCCGTTTTTTTGCAATCTCATTCTGTTTCTCATTCTTGTTCTCCTCGTGCCTGCTTTTGCCTGTCTGCATGCAGACTTCTCCTCTCTCACGGACGTGAAGCATGCCATTTTGACCTTCGCCCCTTCCAACTGCTACCCCATCTGTGAGTGTGAAGTGAAGACCCCGACTGTCCCCGAACTACGTGGTCAAAGTATGCAATTGACTACTGTCAGCAAATCTTATGCTGTGTGTGCACTTGATTGTGTCAGTGACTGAACACCCAAACTCCAATCCAGAAGTCCTCTCGCTCTCTTTCCATCTCTCCCACTCCTCCGCTGTCCGTCAGACAGCCTTTCTTTTGTTTGTTTTTTCATCCCAATACTTCCCTGTCTTTCACCCCCGTCCTCCCACTCTGCAGACAACGGCACCAAGGTGACGGCAGAGCAGGCCATTCCCACATATCTCGCGTCAGGCCCGGACTTCTGCCTCTCCTGCTACGTCTACCTCACCTTCTCCCTCCTCGACGTCGACACGACGAGTCAGATCGGGAGTGAGTGCACGGAGACGGATAATGGGAAGCTTCGTGGATACATCTGCTCCACAGACGAGGGTGCTGACGTCACGGTGGCGCAGGCGTTTGGGAGTCCGCCGGTGGTGAATGGCGGCGGGACGTCGGTGGGGTTTCTCTACACGGAGATGTTTGTGCGCCAGCCCGCTGGCTCCACCATGCGCCTCCCCTCCATCCGCGTCGACCCCCTGTGAGTAGTGATCATGCGCCTCCCGTCCGTGCACGCGGATCCCCTGTGAGTAGCGGCGATACATTCGCTCGTAAACTCTGAGTCCTTTGTGAGTTTTTCTTTCCCGTGGTCCTCTCTCCCTACGTTTTGTGTGCTCCGTATTGCTTCATTTCGTGATTCAGCGTTTCCCTTTACACTTCCCTTGTGTGTGCATGGTTTCGTGTGTGGCATCCCACCAGAGCCATGAAGGGAATCGGGTACATCATGGTGCCATCCAAGGGACCTACTCCTCTCCCTGGGGCCTTTGACGCCATGCCCTTCATTGCAGGCAACAACAGCAAGGTGAGGAAATGGAGAAACCAATCCCAACTTTTCAGTCAGGGATTTCTTGCGCAATAGCAGCATCGAGATGCCTGATCTCTGCACAGCCATCGCCTTGCCATGTAGTCTGGTAATAATCTTGGCATGTAACCAACTGCAAGCCATTCCCCTTCCCTTCCCCTCAACACTCCAGGCTGTGGGTGTTGGGCTAGTGTTCCCAATTACCCTGGTCACTCAGGCGTCGCTCGCAACTACCCCGTTCAGCAGCAACACAGTGCAGACAGTCACACCCACCGCCTTCCCTGCCCTCTCCATGAGTGCTCCTGCCAACCAGTCGCTCACTCTCAATGCCAGCATCGTTCCCCCTGCTGCCACCGGTGCCGCTGCTGGTGCTGCTCCGTCCTCTTACAACATCTCCCTCTACATCAGCAAGGATCCGCTCCCGGTCTCTCTCTATCTCTCTCTCTCTCTCTCTCTCTCTCTCTCTCTCTCTCTCTCTCTCTCTCTCTCTCTCTCTCTCTCTCTCTCTCTCTCTCTCTCTCTCTCAACGTGACTTTTGAGTCAACTCATAAGTCACCTGCTGCTGGTTCTGCTCCCTCCTCGTACAACATCTCCCTCTACATCATTAAGGATCTGCTCCCAGTACGTGTCTCTGGGGGACTACCTGAATATCGTGTGTGTGTGTGTGTGTGTGTGTGTGTGCGCGCGTGTGTGTGCGTGCGTGCGTGCGTGTGTGTGTTTGTTTGTTTTTTTAACAGGTATGTTACATGGTGTGTCATTTTCTTTATCTTGTAGGCTGGTGCTGACCTGTTGTAATTTTCGTGTTCTTTTCCGCTTGTGTGTGCAGAAAAGCACCGGCAGGGCTGCTGCTGGCTGGGGTGTAACCCTGATTTCAGCAATGTTCGCTCTCCTCACCCTCCTCCCTGTCGTCTAGTCTCATGGCTGAGTGGTTCTCACGGAGGTTGATGCACAGCACATGCAGGATGAGAGTGCGCTACGTGTCTTCTTCACAAGCCAGCTGTCTGGTAGTTTTATGGTTAAGAGTTTTTGGTCAGGCAGGATGATAGCTCACGTGTATGCTCTGTTACAGCATTGCAGCATGATGAAGAGATCCTTGGCAACGCTCTGGAACCATCTTAGTAGACCGGAGAAGATTTGAAGTAAAGTTCAAGAAGCTCCTATAAACTTGCACACTGCCACATTGGATTTTCCATATGAACGGATCTTCTTTCAGATCCACCTCACCAGCGACCAGCAAACAGACGAGAACCCAAGCAGCAGCACCGCTGGCCCTAGCGCCTGCTGCAGGGGCAGCGTGACGAGCAGGTTCACGAGCACCCCTGCCAGCACCACCACACCCGCCAGATTCGCAGTCATTGCCTCCCGAAACAGCATTCCGAGAATGTACGCGCCAATCGCCCCAGACCATGCTCCGGTGCCGGGCAGGGGGACGGCTACGAAGAGAGGCAATTTCTAAAGAGCCAGCTTTTTCCGGATCCATCTTAGAAGCGACCAGCACACTGACGAGAACCCCAGCAGCAGCACCGCCAACCCAAGCGCCTGCTGCAGCGGCAGAGTGACAAGCAGGTTCACGAGCACCCCTGCCAGCACCACACCCGCCAGATTCGCAGTCAGCGCCTCCCAAAACGGCATCCCGAGAATGTACGCGCCTATGGCTCCAGACCATGCTCCGGTGCCGGGCAGGGGGACGGCTACGAAGAGAGCGAGGCCAAGCCACTGGAACTCGGCGATGGGGGCGGCCTTGGCGCGGGAGTGGTCCAGGAAGGAGTTGAGGAGGGATTTTAATTGCGGGTTGAGGTTGGCGAGAGTGGTGATGGCTGGGCCGAGCAGGGTGAGGAGGAACGGCACTGGCACCATGTTGCTGTGGTGGAGGTGGTGGGGGGGGAGAAGGGGAGATGGGGAAGAGGGAAAGGGGAGAATGGGGAAGAGGGTTACGGGGGAGAGTGAAGGGGCAAGGAGATGGCGACGAAGAGAGCGAGGCCGAGCCACTGGGCTGAGTACGGGAGAGGAAGGGTCAATACGGGAGAGAGTGGGTGAAGCTGGACCGAGGAAGGTGCGGAGGAAGGACACTGGAAGCATGTTGCTGTGGTGGGGGATGGGTGGGTGGGGTATCAGCGGAGATTAAGGAGGTTGAGATGATGAGGGTGAAGGAACGGGGAGGGTGAGGGAGGGGCCAGGATTGTGCTGACAGAAAGGGACAGTTTTTTTCAAGCAAGTCTGCTCTGTTTTCTTAGTGCGGACAGATGAACTGTGTATGCATCCACTCATCTATTTCTTCTTTTAATTTTCATTTCGCAACTCACCCAAGGACGGCTAGCGAGGAAGCTACTACCGGCTCCATGCCCATCCAGTACGCGACGGGTATGGCGCCTCTCAACTCCACCACCGGCAGCGACGCGATGAAGGTCACGATCGCCGCATCGGGCCAATGCGACTCGCGCAGCGCCGCCGCGACGCGCAGCCCGAGACCCGACTTGGCTATGGACGTCGCCGCGCCAGCCGCGGCGCCGGTTGCGGAAGGGTCGGCGGCTAATGCGGGGAAGGGGGAGACGAGGGAGAGGAAGAGCGGGAAAAGCGCGGCGGCTGCGACGAGGAGGAGCGCGGGAAGGGCGGAAGGCAGCCGCGGGAGCGGAGCGCGGGAGTCTGGGAGGGAATTCTGATGTATTTGCAAGACTTGCGGAGGCGCGGCATCTACAGTGTCGGAGCTACGGGTCTGAAGCGGGACGAAGCTCTGTTTTTGAGTCGACTCAAAAACAGACTCATTACAAACGAAGCTCGCTGACGCGGAGATTTCGTCGCGAGTAGCACTCGCGCCGTTTCTGTCTAAAAAGGCGGCCGCAGCGGCAGCTGAGGCTGCTACGGGCGTGAATAATCGTCTCGCAAAAGTTGCGGCTTGGTTTTGACGCTGACGTGGCGACTGAAGCCGTTTACACGGAATGAGCGCGCGGCGGGGAGAGAGTGCGCATTTGGCGGAGAGCGGTGAGGTTGCGCGGGACTGATGCGCACACGACGAATCAGATGATACGCATTGGGAGGAAAGAGACGATGCAGAAATCGATCCTGCCGCAATTGCCGCCATGCTTGCAGAGGCCATGTCGCGCCTAGAGGGCCGCGCAGCGTCGCGTGAGAGCGACGGTTCAGTCGCCTTGATTGCAGTGGGGGGAGGAAGAGCGGTGGCCCTCGATTCTAGTAGAAGCAAGAGAAGTGGGGGAGGGGAGGCAGGGAGACTTCAACGGTCGTTGAAACTGTTCACCTCGTAACCTTACCTAAACGCGTAGTCTTACCAAAAAGACACTTTTGAACCGTCTATAACCCTAATAAACCGTAGTTCACTGAACATGTAAAATTGTCGAGACCGAAGGGAGTGCGCTTCTGCAATGAGACGGAAATGAAAGGCGATTGTCGTTACTGCAAACACTTTCGTTGGAAGTGTAACGTACGTGCTTGTATTTCTGCGAGATCTGCGTACAACGAAGACAGCGTTTCCTGATTCTCCGCCTTGAGAATACCTGTCGCCCTCGCCATGCAGTCCACAAATCGTATCATTTGTTGTAGTCACTAGGGAGTAGATGCTTTTCGCTCGTTGCATGTGAGGCGTCCCGCGCACGTAATTCGCACGTCGTCACATTGACGGAAGAATAACGTCGCTCCTGCACTCCTTCCCCTGTGCTTTTCCCTACTTATTATCCATCATCCATCGAGGTCGCCATTCCGATTCATCATCGCATCACATTCTCGCTGCGTTAGTGTGACTACACTCGTCTTTTCTGAACAGCAGGCTCGAAGGCTCTGGAAGCAGCTCTACAGATACATTTACAACCAGCGTGTTAGTCGATTGAGCGGCGATGGTGCTACTCCTCATCTCCATCCGATGCGAGCTTGAGAATCTAACCAACCTGCGGCCTGGGTCAGATGATTTCACTTACTATATGAAACTCAGGTGAGTTTTCCGCGTTCACGGGACTACGAGCACATGTTATCAACATAATCTCGCCCTTGTTCTTGGCGGTCAAGTAAAGCCCTCCAAAGTCCGGGTAGCTTCGATGTGGGGTATTACCTGGTTCTTTCGCGATTTTGTCAAACGAACCACCTTTATTCAACGTATGAAGGCTAGGTCATTCGGGTATCTCCACGATGCTTGGATGTGTCATGGAGGAACAACAGACATCAGAAAGCAAGGATTCGTGATTTTCCGAACCACCAATGTTTTATTGACAGCATAGAGGCAGAGAAAGGCTGCTGGCACCCACCTTATGCTGTTGTAATGAGAGGCATATACCATGAGCGGCATATACCATGAGCGGCATATACCATGAGAGGCATATACCATGAGAGGCATATACCATGAGAGGCATATACCATGAGAGGCATATACCATGAGCGGCATATACCATGAGAGGCATATACCATGAGCGGCATATACCATGAGCGGCATATACCATGAGCGGCATATACCATGAGCGGCATATACCATGAGCGGCATATACCATGAGAGGAAGATACTATTGTTTTGAGGCGAGTTAAAACCTGGAGGTCCTGTTTTTTGACCCCTTCTCTGTTGTTGATTTTCAGATGTTCCTGTGGCGAAGTGAGTGCGAAAGAGTCCTCAGTGACTAAAGGGGAGGAGTACGAGATGAAGGGCAGCCGAGGCACTGCCAATCTCGTTCAGAAGGTAAGAGTCCATACTTCCTGTTTGTTCCTCTGCCGCATCATGCACTGAGGATGATAACCAGACACTGTCAGTCAACTTTAAGAGTTGTTGGGAACCTGTTTTAGATGTTTTTGACATGTTTTAGGCAGTACGGGCCATGTCCATTTTTTTGCATCTCCCCTCTTTCCATCTCTCGCTGCCCTCCCCATCGTGCGCACTTACAGTGCAATCTCTGCAGTCGCGTGGGATCTATTTCATTAGTAGAAGGGCATGGTAAACCCTTCACTGCAGAAGATTGTGAGAACAGGAAGTTCGTCCCTCTAGTATGCCTAGACTGCAGAGGAATGGAGCCAGTGGAATTTATTCCCAAGGACGGTTGGCAGGCAGAGGGTTCAGAGTCCGGTACCAAGTTTGAAGACATTGATTTGAGTGATCAGGAGTTCTCAGATTATGACGAGAAGGCAGGGGAGTCGGTGAGCATCCTCAATTTCGAGTCCCAAATTAAGGTGCTGAAGAAATAGTCCCAAGAGCAAGCTGGTCTCAAATAGCTCATAAATTCTGGCTTGTTGTGTTAGGCATCTGGCTGATAAGTTGGCAAATTTTCCAGACTGCAGACGTTGCAAAAAGTAAGAGTGCGAATAACACTTAAATTCATCCTGGGCTTGCACAGTTCTTTCACACATTGTTTTACACGTCGGTTGTGTTATGTAATGCCGCGTTCGGGATTGTTGAATTGAAAACTGTGATTTTTCCACGCGGACATACTGTTGAGGCACAAATGGCCGTGCGGCTGATGCCACCTGGACTTTTTTCGTTTCACGGTGTGGATAGACCGTAAGAATGAGAAGGCTAAACACTCAGCCAACTTGTAATTAAACGTAAGTTCTCAGAAGAAACGTAACTTTATGCCTTTTTAGCTGCCCGTTGTCCATCTTGAATGCGGTTCCGCATTTCGGCTTTCGTGCTGCTGCAGCAATTCCCAGCCCCCATTCCATCAGCCTAGTCGAGACCAGACAAGAGCCGCCATCGTACCCAGCAAGTCGCTGGTCCAGTTCTCTTGACTGACAGATGCCTTCATCACCTTCATCTGGCTTCATTTTCCCATCACCCATTTTGCAGGTGCTCTCCGCATTGACCTCTTCATCTTTCCTCCATTGCCCAGGGGCAAATCCTCCCTATTTTCGCACATGGAGATCTGCTCTGGTGGCGGGTGTTCTCACCCATATTTATGAACCCCCGTCCTCCCTGTAACCCTATGAGAGAGCTCTCCAAAATCAGCAATAATAAATCTCTTTGCGGAGCCTTCGCGATCGTTTGGCGCTGCTCCGAAGGCCTGCATTTCACCAGCATTGTCGATCTTCTTCTCGTGCCGCGTCCATCCGCCATCCGGCGGGTCGCCGGACAGCCAGCTGTTCACTGCTGTCGCGGTTCTATTCTTCGCTGAAGTTACCGTAGGCGTTCCTAACAAAGACTGACTCCGCATCCTCTCGCTCATCGCTAGAAGGCTCGTGAACAAGACTGACAAGGCTCATAACAAAAAACTTGACAAACGGCGTTCCTAACAAGACTGACTCCGCACCGCACATCCCGAAGCTCGTTAAGATGCAACCTCGTTACATCCGCCTCCTCCACCTCCTCCTTCTTCCCCTCCTCTTCGCCGCACAATGCGGCGTGCCTCTGCCGGCGCAGTCCGCCGCGATTGCCGGCGCGATGGATCCCCTGCGGGAGGGCTTTGATTGGCTGCTGCACGAGCTCGGCGGAGCGGACGCCGACGAGTTTGCTGCGGGGGGAGGAGACGCCACGGGCGCGGGGAGCGCCGCGCCGATGGACGGCAGCATCGAGGCGTCGCTGGAGGAGTCCGGGTTCGCGGAGCTGCTGACGTGGCTGCGCGAGAATGGCGCGGAGGGAGACGCGGTGACTGGAAAAAACCTCAAGGTGAATTATGTTGCGACCATTCAATGAAACGCATTTTAAGGCGATTATTACGCTACCATAATGAGCTTGAAAAAGGGTGTCATCCTAGCAAACGGATAGAATAACATTACGTTCCGTCAATCGTGGTTGTTTTTTGTCTTCTTCTTTCGTTTTTGTTTTGATTTGCTTTGTTTTGTGTGGTGTGTGTGTGTGTGTGTGTGTGTGTGTGTGTGTGTGTGTGTGTGTGTGTGTGTGTGTGTGTGTGTGTGTGTGTGTGTGTGTGTGTGTTGTATAGAGTTATAATATTTCTTTCCTAGCGGGTACTTGTCTGGCATGCGCTGGCAAGGGCTGTGCGACCTTTTGTGTCGAGAACAAAAGCACTCTAAGAATGCAACCTGTTTCCTACGGCATGTGCTTGCACGCACTGTGCCAGCTATGTCACTACATCTCAGGATATCTGTTATCTATTTCCTGCTAGAAAATCCCACGCACGCATGGCTTTGCTGCTACGATTGATTTAGTAATGGGTCAGATTTTGCCTGAAATTGCAGATTTAATGCGTATTAAATTAAATGCTCCTACCTTGTTCCTCTTATGCCCGTACAACCCAACATTGCAGCTGAAGGTCTTTAAAGTGGAAATTCCTGACGAGTCTGGCTCAAACACTACGGCTGAAGACACCGGGATGAAGGAGGTGGGGGATGGTACGACGGGCATCAAGGAGGAGAAGACGGAAGAGAAGGAGGTGAAAGCGAAGGAGAAAAAGAAAGTGGTGAAGAAAAAAATCGTGAAGGAAAAAGTGGTGAAGAGAGCGTATGATGATTATTATGATGATGAGGATGAGGAAGAGGAAGAGGAGGAGGTGGAAGAGGAGGAAGAAGAGGAGGAGAGCGAAGGCGCAGCAGGCGGTGAAAATGAGAAGGCGAAGAAATTCAGGCAAGTGAAAGGACTTGGTTTTAGGGTTTTGAGCCTTGTCTCTCAGTCCAGGGTTCAAGGCTCAGGAATAGGGTTGAGGGTTCAAGTTGAGGGTTCAGGGTTAATCTGTTGTATTCATCGCACGGAGCTCTTAGCTCACAGCGTGCTGTTTAGCAATCGCTGCATGGGGTTACGGCACTGGATGCAGCAGCCATGCACGCACATGCCCACAGCAGGATCAGCCAAGCACGCACATGCTCTGAATTGAGAAGAATCAGCAGCCAAACCCATTACTGCTTGTCAGATGTCTTGCAACTCCCCCAACCCAACTCCCTCCTTTTCTCTCCTCTCCTCCGTTTCCCCTTCCCTTTCTCCTTACCCATCATCTTTCGCCTTCCCCCTTTCCCACTTCCCTCTCTTCCCCCCCCAGGTTCTTCCCCCAGCTGTTAGCATCAGCGCCCATAGGCGCGGGGCAGCTGCTGCTGCGCCTGCCTCTGCCGCTGCTGCTCAACGCCTCGCGCTGCTCTGCACCGCGCCTCCCCCTCTCTCCCGAAGGCGACCTTGCCGCCTGCCTGCTGCTGCTGCAGCAACAGGGGGAGGGGGGCGAGCTGGGGGAGGGAGTGGCGGAGGGGGAGGGGGAAGGGGAGGGAGGGGGGAGGGAGGGGGAGAGCGGGGGAGCGCGGGTGGCGCCTTCTCTGCTGCCGGCGCTGCTGGCGTCCCGCACGGCCCACCTGCTGCCCATGCTCAGAAACGACCTCCCCCACCTGCCCCTCCTCCACCAGGTCCACCCTCCCCCTCGCCCTGCCTCTCTTGATCTCCTGTCTTTAAAGCCAGGGTCAGTGAGCTCCAGTCAGTGAGCTCCAGTCAGTGAGCTCCAGTCAGTGAGCTCCAGTCGTTGGTCGTGCAACTGCAAAGCACTTGGGCGAAAAGCGGGTTCTTTGTTTGGCGAGTCTTGATTTGACAAAACTTTGGCCCCAAAACTGTAAACCAATCGACTGCAAAGCACTTGGTCTACTTGAGACCCTGGCTTTAAGCTCCCCCTCACCTCCCTCACTCCCCAACTTCTCCCTTCCTGTTTTCCCTCTCCCTTCGTCACCCCCAATCCAGTCCACCCACCCAATTAACCTCCTGGCTTCTCTCGTCCACAACCATCCTCCCCTATATTGAAGTCACCTAATTTTTCTCGAAGTTTCACATCCTCCCTCGTCCCCCCTCATCCCCTGCCCGTCCACCTGATTATTTTCTCTCATGATCTGCTGGTGTTTTTGACAATCCTATCAAGTTGCCGTTACGTCACCCGTTTATTCTTCCATTATCTGGTGCACCTCGCTGCACCTCGCTGCACCTCGCTGTACCTCATTGCACTTCGCTCTCAGTCTGTTCTGTTGTATCCCCTTCCTCCCTCACTTTACCCCTGCCTCCTCCCTGCCCTCTCTCGCCCTCCCTCCTCTCGCTGTCCTCTCTCTTCCTCCAATTCTCTCCCTCCACCTCTTCCCCTTCTTCCTCTCGCCCTCCACGTCCACCCCTCTCTTCTCCTTCGCCCTCTCTCCTGCCCCTCTCGCCCCCTCTGCTTCGCACACTCTGCTTCGCACACTCTGCTTCACGCACCCTGCTTCGCGCTGCCTCTCTTGCCGTCTCGGCATCTCCCTGCCTGCTTCTTTCTGCCCCTCTTGCCCTCTCTGCGGCCCCCTGCCGCTCGTCCTGCCAGGCCTTGGCCCAGAGGCAGCAGTACGAGAACGAGTATGCCAACTGGACCGCCACCATTAGCACCACCGCCACCAACAGCGCAGGCACTAGCAGCAGCAGCGGAAACAGCAGCGCTGTGTCGCTGCCGTCGCTGCAGCAGTTTCTGGCGACGGTGGCGGCCGTGAGGGCGCTGGCTCTGCCCATGCGCCTGCCGCCTCTGCAGGAGGGGCAGGGGGAGGGGGAGGAGCAGGGGGGCAGGGGGAGGAAGGGCGGGAAGAAGGGCGGAAGGAAGGGAGTGAAGGGGCGGAAGAAGCAGAAGCAGCGGCGGTTTGAGCTGACGGTGGTGCCTCTTGTGAATGCTGTTGCGCGCGCGAATGAGAGGAACCAAGGCAACGTGCAATGGCAGGTGAGATGATGGCAACGTGCGATGGCAGGTGAGATGATGGCAACGTGCGATGGCAGGTGAGATGATGGCAACGTGCGATGGCAGGTGAGATGATGGCAACGTGCGATGGCAGGTGAGATGATGGCAACGTGCGATGGGAGGTGAGATGATGACAACGTGCGATGGCAGGTGAGATGATGGCAACGTGCAATGGGAGGTGAGATGATGGCAACGTGCGATGGCAGGTGAGATGATGGCAACGTGCGATGGCAGGTGAGATGATGGCAACGTGCGATGGCAGGTGAGATGATGGCAACGTGCGATGGCAGGTGAGATGATGGCAACGTGCGATGGGAGGTGAGATGATGGCAACGTGCGATGGCAGGTGAGATGATGGCAACGTGCGATGGCAGGTGAGATGATGGCAACGTGCGATGGGAGGTGAGATGATGGCAACGTGCGATGGGAGGTGAGATGATGGCAACGTGCGATGGCAGGTGAGATGATGGCAACGTGCGATGGCAGGTGAGATGATGGCAACGTGCGATGGCAGGTGAGATGATGGCAACGTGCGATGGCAGGTGAGATGATGGCAACGTGCGATGGCAGGTGAGATGATGGCAACGTGCGATGGCAGGTGAGATGATGGCAACGTGCGATGGCAGGTGAGATGATGGCAACGTGCGATGGGAGGTGAGATGATGGCAACGTGCGATGGCAGGTGAGATGATGGCAACGTGCGATGGGAGGTGAGATGATGGCAACGTGCGATGGCAGGTGAGATGATGGCAACGTGCGATGGCAGGTGAGATGATGGCAACGTGCGATGGGAGGTGAGATGATGGCAACGTGCGATGGGAGGTGAGATGATGGCAACGTGCGATGGCAGGTGAGATGATGGCAACGTGCGATGGGAGGTGAGAGGAAGGGAACATGCAGTGGCAGGTGAGGGGCTGTCTCAACACTTGCGAGCTGAAGAGGCAGGCTGGGTGGGTGGTGTGGACCGTACGTATATGAGATGTGACGTTACCATAGCAGCCCCCTTCAAACTTCCAGTTATTGGCTACAGCACCTCTGATGCCCTGTCTCTCTAATCCCTCCTATCCCGATTTCCAAACCCCTCCTCTCCCTCCCCCCCACCCCAGCTGACCCACGCGGGCTTCCACCTGAGGGCGTCCGCCTTCTAAGTCCCCTTTATCTTCCCCATCCCTCCCACCTCCCCGCACCCCCAGCTGACCCACGCGGGCTTCCACCTGAGGGCGTCACAAGCCATTCCCACCGGCGCTGCCCTCGTGCTGCCTCTCAACGGCGGCCTGCCCGACCCGCTGCAAGCAGCAGTAGCACACACAGACGCACAGGGGACAGCAGGAGAGTGGGAGAGCGAAGAAGACGAGGAAGGGGATGGGGGAGTGCATTTGACATCACTGGGCGAGGTGGAGGAGGCGGACAGCCACGTGTCGCCGGCCACGCTGCTATCCAATGACGATGCCTTCCTCTCCCTCGGGATCATCTCCGCCTGCTCCGCCTTCGACCGCGTGCAGGTTGGTACAGAGCGGTGGAATTAGGTGCCGGGCGGTGAAGGTCGGTTTTGAATGGTGAAGGTCTGTTTGGAGCAGTGCAGTTGGGTTGTGACGGTTGGAGGTGGGTCAAAAGAGGAGCAGTTTTGTTTGTTGCTATCGTGAATTTCGTTTCGTGGGTCTCATAGTGATGAGCCAATCTTTGTCATTCCCACTTTCCCCACTCCCATTCACACCCCCCGAAACCCCTCCTCACCCCTCTCTCTCCTTCCTTCCTTGCTTCCGCCCTTCTCCCTTTTCTCTACCTTTTCACCCCCCCCTTCGCCCACATCAGCTCTACCCGTCGTACGACGCGCTCACCCAGAGTGTGCTCACAGCAGCGCACGTGAACCCCCAGTTCAAGCCATCAACCTTCATGAAATTGGCTGATCGCGTGCGCACAGCACTGCTGAAGGAGGTGCGCGGGGTGAAGCAGGAAGTGCTGTCCACTCTCGTGCAGGAAAAGCTTCTTGCTGCTGCTGTGAAGGCCGAGAGGGGCCGTGGCGCAGGAGGGAGAGGCGGCAAGGCGGAGAGAGGAGTGGTGAAGGGAGGAGGAAAAGGAGGAGGGAAGGGAGGAGGGGAGGGAGTGATGGGGAGGGAGGAGGAGGCTGGGAAGGAGGAGGGGTGTGGAGGGGACGTGGTAGATCAGTTGCTGTTCTGGGAGAGGCGACGGGCCATGCGACAGCGGTACCGGCAGCGACAGAAGAAGCGAGCCGCTGCCCTGCTGGCTGAACTTGAGGCTGAGAGGGCAGAGCGAGGCGAGGGCGAGGGAACGGGCAAGAGCAGGAAGGGCAAGAAGGGGAGGAAGGGGAGAGGGGATGATGAGGAGGAGGAGGAGTGGGGGGAGGACGAGGAGGATGCAGTGGAGGGGCTGTATGTGTACTCGGATGGAAGAATGGACCCTGAGCTGGTGGCGTACTTCAGTGCCGTTGTGCTGCTGGCTGCTACGGGCCAAAGTAAGTGAGTTGTGCTTGCAAGGTGGCTTTGGGAGCAATGTTCAGGCCGCCATAGTGAGTGAAAAGTCGTGATTTGAGACAACTCTCAAGCTGCCTCAAGTCACAGAGGAGGATGCAGTGGAGGGGCTGTATGTGTACTCGAATGGAAGGGTGGACCCTGAGCCCGTGGCGTACTTCAGTGCCGTTGTGCTGCTGGCTGCTACGGGCCAAAGTGAGTGACTTGTGTGCGGAGGATTTGTGAGACTTATGATGAAAGTCATTCATGCTTTTGAGCAGCCCTGAGGTCGCATGTGCGTTTAGTTGCACAGAAATGCTTTCTTGCTTGCATTTGAGCAGCCTGGGCTTACCCAGCTCCCACTCCCTCCTCCCCTTGCCCCTCCAGTGCCGGACGTCATCTCCCTGGCGCGTGTGAGCGTGGCATACGCATGGAATCTGGACGGCATCACCACATGCACGTACATGCCACTGCTCTCCGACCCCTCCCACCCGCTCTACAGGCACATCCCCCCCCCGACCCCACCAACCCCTCCTCCCCCCATCAGTGCCAGACGTAATCTCGTTGGCGCGTGTGAGCATGGCATACGCATGAAACCTGTTTGGCCTTTCAGACATCTAACGACCTCCCTCCCTTCCCTCCCTTCCTCCCCCCCACACCTGCATCAGTGCCGGACGTCATGCCCTTGGCGCGTGTGAGCGTGGCATACGCATGGAATCTGGACGGCATCACCACATGCACGTACATGCCGCCGCTCTCCGACCCCTCCCACCCGCTCTACCTCCACATGCCTCCCGACCCCACCAACCCCTCCGCCTCGCCCCCGTCACCCGGTAACCACCCGGTGGTAACCGCGCTCTCGCTCGCCCTGGACGTTACTGCCAGCAGCCTGCAGCGGCCGCTATCGGATCTCATGACTGCAATGATTGCTCTGGATGAGGTCGGGCGGCGACTGATCGAGACAGAGCCTATCTGTCACATGGCACAGCACTCAGAGATTCTCTCAGAGACCCTGGATAAGGTGAGAAAGAAGGCTCATTTTCTTAGCCCCGGATAGGGTTGTAGCGGTTGCGAGCATGCCTGTGTTGTGTTGTGCGCTCACTTGGCGACTGATCGAGACAGAGCCTATCTGCCACATGGCACAGCACTCGGAGATTTTCTCGGAGACCCTGGAGAAAGTGAGGGCTGGAGACAAACAATCGTTGGACAAGGTGATAGAGAGAGGGAGAGAGAGAGAGAGCTGAGCTCTTGTGTTTGGTTGCATGTCCAGGAGGTTTGTCTTGTCTGTGCCAAGTTGCGGGCTGATAGAGACGGAGCCCATTTGGTACATGGCACAGCACTCAGAGATTCTCTCAACGACCCTGGATAAGGTGAGTGAAAGGGCGCTGCTCAGGTGAAGTCAAACACTTGAAATACTCAGGTGAGCAGAGGCACAGCAGCCGTGAAGCCCTCGTGACACAGCAGCAGCCATGAAGCACTCAGAGATTCTCTCAACGACCCTGGATAAGGTGAGTGAGAGGGCTCTGCTCAGGTGAAGTCTTTCGAGTAGCTTGTCAAACACTTGAAATACTCGAAAGAACATCAGCATTCGTGGCAGAGGCACAGCACAGCAGCCGTGAAGCCCTTGTGACACAGCAGCAGTTCCCCTTCCTTTCGCACCGCCCTTCCCTGACACTCCCGTCCTCTTCTTTCCACCTCCCTCCGACGTCCGCTTTTCGACACTACTCATCCCAGGTGTGCACGCCGGCTTTCTTCGCTGAAGCAGCAGCAGTGAAGCCCGTGGTGGCGTTCCGAGCCAGCAAGCGCAACATCCTCGCCGTCCTCTCTGCACGCCTCAAAGACTCCTGCTCCGTCCAATACCCCCACGAGGCCCAGGCCGCTGCCTCCGCCACCACCGCCGCTGCCGCCCTAGGCAGCGGCCTAACAGCAGCGGCGGGAGGAGCGGGAGAGGGAGGGGAGGTGGGGGTGGGGACGGGAGGGGAGAGGGGGGAGTGGAGCGAGTTGGCGAGGGAGGCGATGGAGGATCTGGATGATGAGGAGCGGCTGGAGGAATTCATTCAGTGGATTCGAGAAAACGGCATTCCCAACTTTGCTGCACCAGGATCCATTTTCCAGGTGAGAAAACTTCTTGACTGAAGCCTTGCTATCGCCTGTTGGGCGTGTGGAGTGAGCTGGCGAGGGAGGCGATGGAGGATTTGGATGGAAAGGAGCCCTGGATGAATTCATCCTGTGGAGTGGATTCGCGAGAATGGCATTAAAATTCCTGTGAATGGCGTTATATCTTCCAGGTGAGAAGACCTGTTGGCTGGTGCCTTAAAACTGTCTGTTGAGAGACCCACTTGAATGCCAACTGGAAGATGAGGAGCGGCTGGGGGAGCTTGCGCAGAGGTTCTGAGAGAAAGTGATGTTTTGAGACGTCTCAAAACATCACTTTTATCACCTGGAGGAGCTTGTGCAGAGGTTCTGAGAGAAAGGCATTCCCGACTTTGCCATGCCTGCCGGGATCCACCTTGCTCCAGGATCATCGGCGCCCAACACCTTTTCCCATTTTCCCTTACCTCCCTCCCGTCGCCCCATTGCCCCTTCCCTTCCCAACCCGTGCAGCTGGTGCATCACAACTCCAAGCCATGTGTGATGAGTCTAAAAATGGACCCCTCCCATCGCCTATCGCCCCCTCCTCCCATGGCCCCATTGCCCCTTCCCTTCCCCACCCGTGCAGCTGGTGTATCGTAACTCCAAGCCATCTGGCGCAAAGGCTGTTGCTGACACCTGGTTGAAGCCCAGGTGCGTTCAGGTGGAATCCAGGTGCGTTCAGGTGGAATCCAGGTGGTTTCAGGTTGAAGTCCAGGTGGTTGGAGGCAGAAGGGTAAGGAAGTTACTAAGGTGTGCTGGGGCCCTATGCACATGTCAGCACTCCTCCAAGTGCCCTCTGCCGTTATGGTAACATGACAACACATGACAACTTGAATTGAACCAGCTGGGTAACACGGTAAGATTGTAACACCATAACTTGCCAACGTGGTAACATGGCAACATGCCAGCAAGCATCACATACAGGTCTGATTTCATCCATCACATCACATCACATCACATACCTCTCTGCTCGCCCAGACCCCACTCACAACCCCACCTCCTCACTTTCCCAAGCCAACCACCCCGCTTCCCCGCCCCAATCTTCCCCAGGTGGCTGACCCCTCTCCCTATCCCCTCTTGTATACCCCTCCACGCCCATTCCCCCCTTTTTCAGGCGGCAGCTGACAGTGTACGCAGGTCAAGCGCGCAAGCAGGCAGGGGAGCACATGATGAGCATCCCATCCCTCTCCCTGGCCCTCTCTTTTATGCACCTTATCTCCCCATCCCACCTTTCCACCTCCCTCCCACCAGGCGGCAGCTGACAGTGTACGCAGGTCAAGCGCGCAAGCAGGCAGGGGAGCACATGATGAGCATACCATCCCTCTCCCTGGCCCTCTCTTTTATACACCTTATCTCCCCATCCCACCTTTCCACCTCCCTCCCACCAGGCGGCAGCTGACAGTGTACGCAGGTCAAGCGCGCAAGCAGGCAGGGGAGCACATGATGAGCATCCCATCCCTCTCCCTGGCCCTCTCTTTTATACACCTTATCTCCCCATCCCACCTTTCCACCTCCCTCCCACCAGGCGGCAGCTGACAGTGTACCCAGGTCAAGCGCGCAAGCAGGCAGGGGAGCACATGATGAGCATCCCATCCCTCTCCCTGGCCCTCTCTTTTTTACACCTTATCTCCCCATCCCACCTTTCCACCTCCCTCCCACCAGGCGGCAGCTGACAGTGTACGCAGGTCAAGCGCGCAAGCAGGCAGGGGAGCACATGATGAGCATCCCACGGGCGCTCTTCCTCGCCACAGACAAGATGCTCCAAGACGGAGTCCCCTACCAGGGGCCCGTCTGGTCCACGGGCATGGCTGCTGCGTGGCTGTGTCGCGAGATGCTCAAGGGCAGGGAGTCGTTCTGGTGGCCGTACCTGCAGTTCCTGCCTCCCTCGGTTGGCCTGCCCTTCTTCTTCAAGCCAGAAACGCTAATGGAGCTCGACTCGCCTGCTTTTGTTCACAAGGTGGGTGATGGGTGGGTGGGTGCTGGCTGAGTGCTGGCTGAGTGGCGGGTAGGTGGTGAGCGGGTGGCTGGGTGGTGGCTGTGTCGTGAGATGGTGAAGGTCAGGGAGTCCTTCTGGTGGCCGTACCTGCAGTTCCTGCCGCCCTCCGTTGGCCTGCCCTTCTTCTTCAAGCCGGCGATGCTGATGGAGCTCGACTCGCCTGCTTTCATTCAGAAGGTGTGTGGGTGGATGGGTGTGTGTGAGTGGATGTGGGTGTGCGCTGTGTTGGGGGAGGAGGGGAGGGTAGTGGCTGGTTGTGGGTATGTGTGTGTGTGTGTGTGCACGCGCACGCGTGCATGTGTAATCGTGTGTGCGTGTGTGTGCGCGCGCGTGTGTGCGAGTGTGTGTGTGTGTGGGCGTGCGTGCGTGCGAGCGTGCGTGTGTGTGTGTGTGTGGGTGTGTGTGTGTGTGTATCCACGCGTGTGCATGTAGGTGTGCGATCATGTGCGTGTGTGTGTGTGTGCGTGTGTGTGTGTGCGTGTGTGTGTGCGTGTGTGCATGTGTGTGTGCGTGTGTGTGTGTGTGTGCGTGTGTGCGTGTGTGCGTGTGTGTGTGTGTGTGTGTGTGTGTGTGTCCGTGTGTGTGTGCATGTGTGTGTGTGCGTGCGGGTGTGTGTATGCGTGTGTTCATGTACATGTGTGATCGTGTGTGTGTGTGCATCCGTCCCTCCCGGCACCACCTCCTTCCCCTCTCCTTACCTCCCTCCCCACACAACACCCCATCTGGACTACCACTGCAACGAATATTCCTGATCCACTCCCATCCATATCCATCCCCCTCCACCCTACTACACCCCTCTCCACCCCTCCCCTTACCCTCCTCCATCCCTCTCCTACCCATCTCCACCCCTCTGGGTCAGATATCGACCCATCTGAACAACTACCGGTCGGAGTACAACCGCATTGCACCGCACTTGCGTGCCAACACCACCTTCTTCGAGTACCTGTGGGCCGTCTCCATCATCAACTCGCGTGCCTTCGGGGACCAGGCGCGCGGTAACTCCGTAACCGTAACGGTGGACGGGAAGGAGCAGGAGGTGCCTCTAGCGAGTGGGCCACTAGCGCTGGTGCCGATCGCAGAGCTGCTGGATCATGAAGACATGTTCCAGGCTCAGTATGATGTGAGTGGACTTGGTTGGGGGTATGGAAGGGAATCAAGAGGAGGAGGAACTATCTTTTGGGTTGACTCTAGCGCTCGTGCCGATTGCAGAGCTGCTGGACCATGAAGACATGTTCCAGGCTCAGTACGACGTGAGTGGCTTGATGATTGACATGTTGGGGGCTGAGAGGTTGAGGTGTCCTTATGAAGACGTGTTCCAGGCCCAGTATGATGTGAGTGGCGGATATGTTCAGCTGTCAGCTGTCATAGCACTTATGCCGTTTTCAAAGGGCGTCGTCGCGACGAGCTGTTCACGTCGTACGGTCCCAAGGTGAACGAGGAGCTGCTGCTGGGCTACGGCTTCGTGCTGGACGGCAACAAGCAGGAGAACGTGCTGCTCTTCCGCACTGCCCCCTCCAACCCCCTCCTCCACCCCCTCTCTCTCCTCCCCTTCTCCCACCCCCATCTTCCCCCCCTCTCCTCCCCTTCTCCTGCCCCTCTCCTTCCCCACTACCCACTCATCTCCTTCTCCCAAACCCAGGTGGGTGCGTCGCAGTTTGATTTCATAGCACTCGTGCCCTTCGCAAAAGGCGATGAGCTCTTCACCTCATACGGCCCCAAGGTGAACGAGGAGCTGCTGTTGGGCTACGGCTTTGTGCTGGACGGCAACAAGCAGGAGAACGTGCTGCTCTTCCGCACGCTGCTCGATGCAGTGAACCTGGTCGCCCTCGTCCTGCACCGCGACGCCGCCCGCCCCGGCGAGTGGGTGGCTGGGCCGGGCGGCTCGGGCGGGACTGCCGGGGCGGCAGGGGCGGTTGGGGCAGCAGGGAAGGGCGGCAAGGAACGGGAGGAAGGGGGAGTGGGTGAGTGCCATGGAGAGGGAGAGGGAGAGGAGGAGGAGGAGGAGGAGGAGGAAGAAACGGACCTGCACTGCGAAGTATGGGGATGGGGATGTGGAGGGTGGTGGTGTGGGTGGTGGTGGTGGTGCGGGTGTGGGTGAAGGGGCGATCAGCAAAGGGGATAGGGAGCTGAAGCAAGGTTTGGCGCGCATATGGGGAGGAGGGCTGGGTGACTGGCTGGCTAATGAGGGTGCTGATGGGAATAAGGATGATGATGCTGATTATGATGATTATGATGGTTATGATGATGACTATGAGGAGGAGGATGATGAAGAAGAAGAAGCGGGGAGCAGGTGGGGCAAAAGCAAAGCGCAGGGGCGAGGGAAGAAGCGGATGAACAGCAACAGAAACAAGCACAAGAACAAGAACAAGAGCAAGGGGAAGGGCAAGAGCGGCAGCAGGCACGGAAAGCAGAAGAAGAGCAAGAAGAAGCAGCAAGCAGACTCCCAGGCGGGAGCATCCCAATCCTCAACAGCTCGCCTCCTGTGGGTGCGACAGGCGCTCTGGCGGGTAGCAGCCAAGGCAGTGGAGGCAATGGCGAGGGAGCGTGCAGAGGCAGAGAAGCAGTTTGTGCACGTGGGGGCCATGCCGCAGTATGTGGCTCGGCAGGAGATCAGGCGGGAGAGCGAGGCGGATGAGGTGAATGGCGGGGTGGAGGTGCTGGCAGGGAAGTACAAGGACCCGAGCTTTGGTGTATCGGTGTGGAGAGGAGGGATTGTGGAGCCAAATCTCATGGCTGTGTTTGCTGCTGTGTGGTACTACCTCAAGCACCACTCAGGTGGGTCTTTTACTCCAGTCTGTTGTTACCTTCTCTTCTATTTACCCCGAAGCAAGTGTCTGAATCTCATGGCTGTGTTTGCTGCTGTGTGGTACCACCTCAAGCACCACTCAGGTGAGTCTGATCAATATCGGGCTCTTGGTAGTGATACATCAAAGGACGTGTGCAAATCTGACGGCTGTGTTGTGCCTTGGTCAGTGCTGTGCCTTGGGTGGGCCATGAGCAACAATGGCTGTCGGGACTTTTGAGGTGCCTCAAAAATGGCTCTCAGGACCCACACCACAGGTTGATAGCCACATCATGCATCCACCCCTTACTCTCTCTTTCTCTGCTCTCTCCCCTCCCTCCGCCAGAACCCCCATCTGAAATGGCCAAGTCAGTGCTGCACCTGGGCTGGGCGGTGTCCAACAGTGGGTGTCCGTACACACATGAGAACAAGTTAATATTACATTCGCCCCTTATTCTCTGCTGTCTCTCCCCCTCCAACCCCCTACACCTTTCCCTATCTTTCCCTCCCCCTCATCCCTCCCACCAGAGCCCCCATCTGACATGGCCAAGTCAGTGCTGTACCTGGGCTGGGGGGTGTCCAACAGTGGCTGTCGCGACGTGGCCTCTCCCTTCTCCAACGTGCTGCCCGCCCTGCAAGCAGCGGCCGACACCGTTCGTCTGCTAGCTCAGGCGCGGCTGCAGCAGATGCCGACCAGCATAGAAGAGGACGAAGCGATCCTGCGGGAGCTGGAGCGTTGTAAGAGCGGTGGGAAGGTGGGGGCGGGTGGTGGGGAGGGGGTGAAGGGTGGGGGAAAGGTGGGAAAGGAAGGAAAGAAGAAGTCGGCACATAGCAAGCAGCAGCACAAGGAGAAGCTGACGAGCCTGGAGGAAGTTTCCGCGAAGCGTCTCAGTCGGCGCCGGCGCCGGCGTGCCGTTAGCGAAGGGAGGATTGTCGATGACTACAGCGACGATGACAACAGCGAGAGTGACAACAGCGAGGAGGAGGAGACAGATGCCGATTTCAAGAGCAGGAGCGAGGAAGAGGAGGCGATGGACTGTGACGCGTGGGAGCGAGAGCAGGCCGGTGGGGAGACTGACGAGGAGGGTGGCGGGTCGGAGAGTGGGAATGGTGGCGGCAGCGGAGGTGGTAATGCGGGTCCGAAGAGGCTGACAGTGATGGGGGTGCGGTGTGGGTGTGAGGCGCTGAGGGCGGAGGCGGATGAGCGGATGGTGGCGGTGCGGTTCAGGAAGGCCAAGAAGGCAGTGCTGAAAGAGGTGGTGGATCGACTCAAACGGGCCTGCCCTGCCTCTCCCACTTCTTTCCTCTAGTTTTTGGACGTCTCAACACTCGGTACGGTTCAGGAGGGCCAAGAAGGGGGGATTGAAATAGGTTTTATACTGGCTGACAAGGGCCTGCCTGGCAGCCCTCCCTCCCCCACTGCGCTCCTCTGAAATCCGCCCTTGAACCCTCTCTCTCTCTCTCTCTCATAATTCCTTTCCTCGCCTTGATTCCTCGTCTCGATTCTCTGTCACCTTTCCTGACCTGAGCTTAGATCTCAGCTTAGTTTTTAGCTGGAGGCCAAGGTGAGAGATGCAAAAATCCCAACTCATTCCACCGTGTCTCGCTGTCTCGTGGGTAGCACTGCACTAGGATGGTTCAATTGTGATATCAACACCCGTAAAAAGACTCGTTTTCATAGGTGCTGTTTTGGTGTGTTGAGAACTGGCGTATGCAAAGCTTCATTGGGTAAATTCATAACAAAGCAGTAGTATTCAACACTAAAGATAGACATTACAACAGTATGCACGCGCTATTGAGAAGACGTTGAAATTATAACACACAATCGCTCCACATTCAAAACCAGACTGAGGGCGTGTAAAATCGCTGCACCTAAAAATTCGGCCACAAGCCGAATGGCCGAATTGGCGAAAGTAACCCGTTTGCGAGTTTCACGAAGACGCTCGCGACCATCGTAAATTTCGCGAATAAAAAACGAAATTGATGGCCGTTTTGAAAGTCGACTCGAATTCGACACCATGTCGACTCCAATTCGGCCAAGTAGTCGACTCCGTGAGCGACTGTCACGTGCGACGTCGCACAGTCTCGCAGAACGACAGATTATTTTCTCTTGTCGAATCAGAGACTTCGCCGTCATATGTGCGACCCCGTCGCACAAACGTTCCTACTGTAGCACTTGCAAATTTTACAAGTTTTCTGGAGTCGGCCAGCAATTCGGCCTGCAAAGTTGTAAAATTTGCAGACCTGCAAATACTGGTCGACTCTAATTCGGCCATCAGGTCGACATGTGCGAAAGAAGTGTCGACCATTTGGTCGACAAAAACCCGGCCATACCCCATTTTTTAAAATGCACGCCGATTTTACACGCCCTGAGATTCACGGTGGGTGCGGTGAGAAAGATCAACAATCCAAATCGGAATAATCAACAATCCACGAACAAACTGATTCTCATCCAGTAAAATCCGTCTGTGTTCCGCAAGTTTTATCGCGCAGATTCTGTTACCTCATCACGCCCAAGCACCTGAAAGTGGAGCCCCGGGCCGGATTTTCGTGGCGAAGGCCATTTCGTCCCCTTCGATCGACTCGCATGACTCATCACTGTCAGACCGCTTGAGCGAGTCCGACTTCTCCGCCTCTCTCACGATCAGCCGCGTGATGAACGGCGGGAAAAACGGCCACAGTCGCTGCTGCAGCTCGGGCAGCCGCCAGTCGTCGCTCGTGACCATCCCGCGGCAGCCCAGCGCGCCGCAGAGACAGCGGAAGTTATCGCTGCTGGTGCGGTTGGCGCCAGAGTTAATGCTACCGTAGTCGATGCTCACCTCTTCGCCTGGCGCGATGTCCCGCAACGCCACCACCGTCACCGAGTCCTCCATTCCGCAGTTCGGGTCGCACGAGTGGTTGATAAAGTCGGGAGTTTCGGGCCTCGTATGCGGCACCTGCCAGAGGCCGTCGTTGACTTGCAACGACAGCTGCCGCGTGCGTTCGTCGCTTGCGAGCAGGTAGTCGAGGCCGACAACCCTGCCGGCGAAAACGAGAACCGTGTCGCCGCGTCGGATGCTCGCCGCTGCAAACAACCCCTTGGAGTCGTCGGCGCCCTTGTGGCGAATCACCACGCGAGGGTCGTGCCACCCCGACTCCCCCATTTTCCGCGCCACGTAGGGCGAGCAGTGACCGGCGTAGCGCCGCTGCCAGTCGCGCGAGCGCCACTCGGTGAAATCGAGCACACCGCGGCAGCACGCGGAGCCGCAGCGGCAGTGCATGCCGGCGAGCATGCTGCCCTCCGTCTCCGTGACGGCGTGGTCATACGCGACTTGCTCTCCCGGGAGAATGTCGCGCAGGGCGACGACTCGTCGGTCGCCAGAAAACCATGCGTTTGGGTCGCACGAGTGGTTGATGTAAAAGCTCGGGTCTTCGTCGGGGTCGGTTGTCGTGCCGTACACATCGTCATCGATCATGTACGTATAGCGAACCAGTTTCTCGCGCTTCCCCTTATCGGGTTCCGCTAATATGTCCCGAGCGTGATACACTCGCCGCGGCTCTTCTTCGTCCCATTCGAGAACAACCTCTCCCCGTGCAATTGAGCTGCGCGCGAAGAGCCCGCGGCATTGGAAACCGTAGAGCTGGTGCTCTTGCACGACGATGTGCGGGTGGAGACCCATGTTGATGGACGGTGGAATGGCGGTCGGATGATGGAGGGCGGTCGAATGGCGGTCGGACGATGAGGAATTGGTGCGATTGCTTGAATTGTTCGAAATTGTTTTGGGGAGAAATAGGTCCCCACGGCGCGGCCCAGAAATGGGTGACCATTGCATGCGCGGCGGGTTACCGTGCACTCAAAATGCACAATTGGGTAACCAGTTGGCGCGAGATGATTGGGCCGACCAACTTGTAACTGCACATTGTTTGAATTGAGACCCAAACCCGCCGAAACCCCTGAAACGTCGAAACGTAATTGACGAATTTGTGCAATTCGTCCAATCCCGCGCCTCTCATTATCCCATTGACCAGTCTTAGGGCGTATTCCTACAGCCTTCTATCAAGCCACCTCCTATCAGGATTGTACCTTTTGCCTGGTAAAGTAGCGAGAGGTTTCGGGTTTAGAGGATTTTTCAGTGTGAGCTTGATTGGAGGTCAGATTGATAGGAGAATAGGAATACGCCCTTATAGCCGCAGGTGTTAAGAGTTGTTAAAGCCCAAGTTCTACATGGCTGTTTTCAAGTTCAAGATTCCTGAATATGCTTTCGCAAACTACCTTGTTACCACCCAAAGTGGAGCATTCTGTCCGATATTGATCTGTGATTGGCCAGCGACACTCAAAGTCATACCAAGCGGAGGGTCAGCTTGCAAGGCAGCACTGTTCACTTGAGCTGAACTTGAAAACCATCGGGTACTTATTGTCAAGCATACCTACGTAGTTCACCCGCCATTCACGCCCAAAGAATCACTCCGTTTCTCCGTTTCTGTCAGTGAATTAGGGTTGCCCTGTAAAGCATCTTTGCTGATCTTAGGATTCCCCATCGCCTTCGCCTGCCCGCGACGCCTACGGTTCCTTGGCTCCCGTTACTCGCTTCCTCGCGTCGTTCATGATTCCGCTCGTTGCCCATGCTTAGGTACGTCGCTCACGCTTCCATACGTCGCTCACGCTTCCTTACGCCGCCCACGCTTCCATGCGCCGCCCACGCTTCACCTCGACTCTCCCTTCCATTCGCCGCCCTCCCTTCCGCTCGTCGCACTCCCTTCCGCCCGTCGCCCTCCTATCCGCCCGTCGCACTCCCTTCCACCGTCGCACTCATTCCGCCCGTCGCACTCCCTTCCGCCCGTCGCACTCCCTTCCGCCCGCCGCCCTTCCTTCCCCTCGTCGCGCTCCCTTCCGCTCGCCACCCTTCCTTCCCCTCGTCGCGCTCCCTTCCGCCCGCCGCCCTTCCTTCCCCTCGTCGCGCTCCCTTCCGCCAGCCGCCCTTCCTTCCCCTCGTCGCGCTCCCTTCCGCCCGTCGCCCTTCCTTCCCCTCGTCGCCGCGCTCCCTTCCGCCCGCCGCCCCTCCTTCCCCTCGTCGCGCTCCCTTCCGCCCGCCGCCCTTCCTTCCCCTCGTCGCGCTCCCTTCCGCCCGCCGCCCTTCCTTCCCCTCGTCGCGCTCCCTTCCGCCCGTTGCCCCCCTTCGTCTCGTCGCCCTCCTTCCCGCTCGTCCCCTCGCAATCTCTCTCTCTCTCGCCCTCCCATCCACTCCACGTTGCCCTCGCCATCCCTCCCTTCCCTGCTTTCCCCTATCCCCTTCCCTTTCTCCCCCCCATCCCCTTCTCTGCTTCCCCCCATTCCGTTCCCTGCTTCCCCCCATCCCCTTCCCTTGCTTTTCCGTCGTCCCCTCCCCTGCTTCCCCGCATCCCCTAGCCTGGTTACCCCCATCACCTCCCCTGCTTCCCCCCATCCCCTTCGCTGCTCCCCCCCATTCCTTCCCTCACTCAGTCATTCCTTCCCACCCTCACTCATTTTTTCCCACCCTCTCTCATTCCTTTCCATCCTTTCTCATGCAACTCACCTCCTTCCCTACCATCCTCATAACATATTACCTGCCTTCTCCCCCAGACTCCACCCACCTGCCCTCCCCATCCCTGCCTTTCCCTCCCTGCCCTGTCCTTCCCTTCCCCATCCCTTCTCAAACCTTCCCTTCCCCATCCCTTCCTTTTCATGCCCTCCCCTTCCCCCTCACTCCTCACCTTCTGCCCTGTTGTTGCCATGCGTGTGCACCCATCTATTTCCCCATACATGCTTTCATCATGTGCGCTTGCTTGTATTCCCTTGCCATTGTTCCGTTGCACCTCACACCACCTCCCCCATGTTTCTTCACGCAATTCTTCCTTCCTGTCTTCCCTAATTTCCAGTGGTGAAGCAGAGGAGCAACAGTTGCAAGCTGAGGCACAGCCAATCAATGCTTTACATTGTACCACCACCTGTTTCGTGTGTATTGTATGCTATGCAAGCATGTTACTGGATTTCTGACGGAGGTATGAATTGCAAGGCTCTGTATGTACTTCTGTTTTTTCAGTGCAAGATATTATTCCAAGATGCATTGACACTAAGAATGTCATAAGGGTAATTTTGACTGTAGGCAAAGGTCAAGGGATAACTGAACCTTTCTCAAGGCCCTGAAAAAAAAAAAAAACCATGAGGGTAACTGGTTACGCTACGAGCATGGCATGGAAGTTGGGCTGAAGCGAGTTGAAGTACCAGTACCAGAAAAAGCATCACTGTAGTCACTGCAATAGCCCGGTAGCGGGGGATATTACGAGGGATGGGGAGGGGGGAAAAGGAAAAACGTCAAACAGATAGAGATGAGAAGAGCTGAGACAGGGGAGATAGGAAAGAGGGGGAAGAGGGAAGCAGGGGGGAGGAGAAAGGAGAAGGAAAGAGGGTGAGAGAGAAAGAAGGAAATACCTTAGGAAGAGGGAGGATAGAGATGAGGGGAGATACGGAAGAGGGGGAGAGGGAAGGGGGGAATAGGAAGATGAAAGGAGGGAGAGAAGAGGGGAAAACGAGGGTTTAGCAGGTGGGGAAACGAGGGGAAACAGGGGGAAATCCTGGTAAATGAGGGGAGGCAGCGGAGGGAAATGAGGGGAAGCAGCGGAGGGAAATGAGGGGAAGCAGCGGAGGGAAATGAGGGGAAGCAGCGGAGGGAAATGAGGGGAAGCAGCGGAGGGAAATGAGGGGAAGCAGCGGAGGGAAATGAGGGGAAGCAGCGGAGGGAAATGAGGGGAAGCAGCGGAGGGAAATGAGGGGAAGCAGCGGAGGGAAATGAGGGGAAGCAGCGGAGGGAAATGAGGGGAAGCAGCGGAGGGAAATGAGGGGAAGCAGCGGAGGGAAATGAGGGGAAGCAGCGGAGGGAAATGAGGGGAAGCAGCGGAGGGAAATGAGGGGAAGCAGCGGAGGGAAATGAGGGGAAGCAGCGGAGGGAAATGAGGGGAAGCAGTGGAGGGAAATGAGGGGAAGCAGCGGAGGGAAATGAGGGGAAGCAGCGGAGGGAAATGAGGGGAAGCAGCGGAGGGAAATGAGGGGAAGCAGCGGAGGGAAATGAGGGGAAGCAGTGGAGGGAAATGAGGGGAAGCAGCGGAGGGAAATGAGGGGAAGCAGCGGAGGGAAATGAGGGGAAGCAGCGGAGGGAAATGAGGGGAAGCAGCGGAGGGAAATGAGGGGAAGCAGCGGAGGGAAATGAGGGGAAGCAGCGGAGGGAAATGAGGGGAAGCAGCGGAGGGAAATGAGGGGAAGCAGCGGAGGGATATGAGGGGAAGCAGCGGAGGGAAATGAGGGGAAGCAGCGGAGGGAAATGAGGGGAAGCAGCGGAGGGAAATGAGGGGAAGCAGCGGAGGGAAATGAGGGGAAGCAGCGGAGGGAAATGAGGGTAAGCAGTGGAGGGAAATGAGGGGAAGCAGCGGAGGGAAATGAGGGGAAGCAGCGGAGGGAAATGAGGGGAAGCAGCGAAGGGAAATGAGGGAAGCAGCGAAGGGAAATGAGGGAAGCAGCGGAGGGAAATGAGGGGAAGCAGCGGAGGGAAATAAGGGGAAGCGGCGGAGGGAAATGAGGGGAAGAGGGAAATGAGGGGAAGCAGCGGAGGGAAATGAGGGGAAGCAGCGGAGGGAAATGAGGGGAAGCAGCGAAGGGAAATGAGGGAAGCAGCGGAGGGAAATGAGGGAAGCAGCGGAGGGAAATGAGGGGAAGCGGCGGAGGGAAATGAGGGGAAGCGGCGGAGGGAAATGAGGGGAAGCGGCGGAGGGAAATGAGGGGAAGCAGCGGAGGGAAATGAGGGGAAGCAGCGGAGGGAAATGAGGGGAAGCAGCGGAGGGAAATGAGGGGAAGCAGCGGAGGGAAATGAGGGGAAGCAGCGGAGGGAAATGAGGGGAAGCAGCGGAGGGAAATGAGGGGAAGCAGCGGAGGGAAATGAGGGGAAGCAGCGGAGGGAAATGAGGGAAGCAGCGGAGGGAAATGAGGGGAAGCAGCGGAGGGAAATTAGGGGAAGCGGCGGAGGGAAATTAGGGGAAGCGGCAGAGGGAAATGAGGGGGAAGGAGGGAGGGAAATGAGGGGAAGCAGCGGAGGGAAATGAGGGGAAGGAGGGAGGGAAATGAGGGGAAGGAGGGAGGGAAATGAGGGGAAGCAGAGGGGAAAGCGAGAGGAGGCAGGGGAGTAAATGAGGGGAAGCAGGTGGAGAAATGATTGGAAGAAGGGGAAGGGAAAGAGAGGGTGGAATGAGGGGAAGCAGAGGGAAAAATGAGGGGAAGGTAACAAGATGGAATGGAATGGCAGGGAACCGAGGGCAAGGGATGGGCAGTGGGAGAAGGACGACAGCGGGAGTGGAGGCGCGAGGAGGGGCAGCGCGACGAGAGTGCTGGCGCGCTGATGGCAGGGGAGGCGCGGCGAGGTGAGCGGAGGCGCGGCGAGGCGAGAGGAGGCGCGGCGAGGCGAGAGGAGGCGCGGCGAGGCGAGCGGTGGCTCGGCGAGGCGAGCGGAGGCGCGGCAAAACGAGCGGATGCGCGGCGAGGCGAGCGGAGGCACGGCGAGGCGAGCGGGAGGCGCGGCGAGGCGAGAGGAGGCGCGGCGAGGCGAGCGGAGGCGCGGCGAGGCGAGCGGAGGCGCGGCGAAACGAGCGGATGCGCGGCGAGGCGAGCGGAGGCGCGGCGAGGCGAGCGGGAGGCGCGGCGAGGCGAGAGGAGGCGCGGCGAGGCGAGCGGAGGCGCGGCGAGGCGAGCGGAGGCGCGGCGAAACGAGCGGATGCGCGGCGAGGCGAGCGGAGGCGCGGGGGAAGGCGAGCGGAGGCGCGACGAGGGAAGGCTCCCAAACGAGGGGAGGGCTCCCAGGTTCCTAGGATTGCGTATTTCAACGGGAGATGCGCTGTCGGGATGTTTTTATCCCGTAGACTACTGCTCACACAATACTAAGTTATCCGTTTGGGTAATTTTTCCCCATTCAGTTGAGTTTGTTGGTTTGTCGCACACTCCTCTTGATGTTGAGTGTTGACGACTGAACAATCTCCTCGCAGCCTGATCTCGCTTTCGCCCCGCCCATATTCCCGAAATATACTTTTTTTGCTTTTCGCCAATACGTTTAAAACCCTTCTGTGATTTTGACAAAAACCATGCTGACCTCGGGCTTTAAGGAGAGTGTGCAGGTTAAAGCAAGGGTGCACATTCCTAGGGGTGGTTTTTGAGGGCATTGTTAGGGTACACCCTTTGATGCCTGCTGATTCGTTGGCGAAGTGTCCAAGGCCTGTAAAGCTGGTGCGAGCTGTGCAACCAAGACTGGCGAAGCCAACCCATTTCGGACAATCACTTGGGCGCAACTCTCTCCAATCATATCCAATGTGAGGGTTGGAAAGGCGGTACGAGCATGTGACCTGGCGGAACTCAAGTGATAATCACACAACCAAGCAGACACGATAACTTGTGCCCGTCAATCTGAACAAGCGCATATACCGCCATTTCGCTACTAATAATAGAAGCGTCGCGCCACTACGACTTAGTCCACGGCATAGTGTCCGGTCCTCTACGGTATTAGGTTTGCGTCATCGGATGCGAACGGAGATAGCACGGCTAGAGCGCGTCTTCGTCTAGCAACCGACTCGTCGTTCTCCCGTTGTGGCTGTGGGAACGCCGTGTCGCAATCTCTCACGACTCCCCCACTCGCCGGGTTTAGTGCGGCGTAGCCTCTCGCCTCCCCGCCAAATGCGAGCCCCCGCTCTGCGTCACACCCAGGCCGTGCGACCTCCAGTGCCGCCTCGTCTCCTCACGGCCGCCAAAATGGCAACCTCGCCTTCTCATCGCCACCACAACACCGACTCGTCACGGCGCGATTAAATCGCGCCCACATCGCCGCCTCGCCACTACGCTTCCATATCGCCGTCGTGGCGCGCCGCCACATCGCGAGCTCTCCGTGCCGCCACCGCGTTGCCGCCACATCGTCGCATCGCCGGCACATCGCCTCCTCGCCGCCTCGCCTCCTCAACAACGTGCCTCCTCCAGCTCGCCACCTGCTGCATCGCCGCCTCAAACGCCCTCGCTTACACCGCCGCCTCGCCGTTGCACTCATTTTCCTCGATCCCCCCCTCCTTCCCCCCGTGTCCAATCTCCTCACCCCGCTACACGTGCTCCGTCAGCTCCCTCCGTACCCTCCCTTCCCTCTATTTAGCTGTTCCCATGCCGAAACTTTACCTTCCTTTTTTTTTATCACCTTCTTCCCATCTTGCCCCACCTGGACACCCATTTTTTTTCACCCTTCTTCCTCGTATTTCCCCCCCTTGATTACCCTCTTCTCCTCCCCCCCCCCCCCCCCCCCCCCCCCTTCTTTCCCGTTTTCCCGCCCATGGTTCCCCTCTTTTCCCCCCTTCCTTCGCCACATTTCCCACCCTGGTTCCCCAGTGACCCCCCCTTCTTCCCCTCATTTCCCCCCCTTCTTCCCCTCATTTTCCCCCCTTCTTCCCCTCATTTCCCCCCCTTCTTCCCCTCATTTTCCCCCCTTCTTCCCCTCATTTTCCCCCCTTCTTCCCCTCATTTCCTCCCCTTCTTCCCCTCATTCCCCCCCCCTTTTCCCTCATTTCCCCCCCTTCTTCCCCTCATTTCCTCCCTTCTTCCCCTCATTTTTCCCCATTCTCCCCTCATTTTTCCCCCTTCTTCCCCTCATTTTTCCCCCTTCTTCCCCTCATTTCCCCCCCTTCTTCCCCTCATTTTCCCACCTGCTTGCCTTCACAGTCTCCTTGCTCCTTCCTGTTCCCCCGCCCACAGTATGTGTGCACCTCCGAGTACATGGTGCAGTCACTGTGCTCACCGCCGTTGAGGTGTGTAGATGTGCGTCCGTGTGCATGTTTGTGTGCCTGCACCTATGTGCATGAATGCTCCGTGACCACTTTCTACACCCCTCTCTCCTCGGTCCCTCCGTCCCTCCCTCCTGCTTCCCTCGACCCTCTGCCTCGTGCATTCCTCCCCTATCATCCCTTCCTCCCCTATCATCCCTTCCTCCCCTATCATCCCTTCCTCCCCTATCATCCCTTCCTCCCCTATCATCCCTTCCTCCCCTATCAGCCCTTCCTCCCCTATCATCCCTTCCTCCCCTATATCATCCCTTCCTCCCCTCTATCATCCCTTCCTCCTCTCTCTCACCCATTCCTCCCCTCTCTCACCCATTCCTCTCAAGCTCATGTTGTCCTCCCGTCTCTCATCCCATCTACCCCTCTCTCATCCCTTTCTCCCCTCTCTTATCCCTTCCTCCCCTCTCTCATCCCATCCTCCTGAGAAAAGAACTAGGCAAGAATGGTGCATTGAATGGAAGAATTGGGTACAAGTAGCAAACCCTAGTTGGGGTTGTACCCCATATTGGCTACCCCACTACAGCCTACAAACATAATACAGTTTAACACACCCCCATAGGCAAAGTGGGGGAGAACAAAGGGTCACAAGACCAGTCCAGCAAAGCAAAGCAAAGCCCAGGGTGGATCACAACGTCACCACACTCCGAGCACAAGCAAAGGCCACAAGGCCAGTTCACATGCAGTGCTAGATATAGAACAGGACAAGCAGCAAGATATATATAAAGTACAGTACAAAGAAAGTCAAGCAGTAAGCAAATGAGGAAAAGTGGACACAAGGCCTAAAGAAGTACAGTGCCGCTGATGATCACTAGACGGGAGCGCCTTGGTGAAGATATCAGCAGTGTTGGCCTTCGAGTCCACGTACACAAGCCGAAGCTGACCGCGCTGCTGAAGCTCTCGAGCAAGAAAGTAGCGAAGAGCAATGTGCTTCGTCCTGTGCTCCAGTCTGTGCTCCTGACACAAGGCAAGGGCCGCCTTGTTGTCACCGTACAGAACTGGAGGAGAACTCTGTCTCCCAAGTCAGTCAGCAGGTAGGTGAGCCAGCGTAACTCCTGTGCAGCCATGGCTGTGGCGTAGATCTCAGCCTCACAACTAGAGCCGAGAACAGAAGAAGAGCGGGTGGACCGCCACGAGACAGAACCAGAGCCAAGGCTGAAGGTGTAACCCTGTGACGACCGCTGCGTAGCCAGGTCGTCCACCCAAGAAGCGTCCGAGTGACCAGTGAGGACAACTCTGTCGCGTCCTCCAAGCACCAGCCCCATGCCTGATGTACTGCACAAGTAACGCAGCACCCTCTTAGCAGCCTCCCAGTGCTCTCGCCTGTGTCTCCCAGGCGCAACGTAACGAGCAAGGATGCTAAGTGGGTACGCGAGGTCAGGTCGCGTGCAAGTCATCAGGTACATGAGGCAGCCTACAAGCTCTGGGTACGGGCCACTCGGCTCTACGGACTCGTCCGAAGGTGGAGCTGAGAGCGAGTGGCTGGTAGCCAGAGGTGTGGCCTGTGGTGAGGAGAACTGGAAGCCGAAGCGCTGAAGGACCTGCTGCACCATGTGTGACTGAGTCAGGGTGATGGTGCGGCGAGCTCTGTCCTGGGTGATCTGCAAGCCAAGGTAGCTACGCAGTTCACCCAGGTCAGTGCAGGTGTGTCTCTTCTGCAGCTCCGACTTCACACGAGCGAGTGCCTCAGTGTCAGCAGTAGCAAAGACCAAGTCGTCGACGTACACGAGAATGTAGAACGGCGGTAGCGACGTGTCTGTGCGCAGAAACAGCGACGGGTCAGCAGTAGACGGCGCGAACCCAAGAGCTGCAAGTGTAGTCCTCAGTGTGTCGTGCCACTCACGTGGCGCCTGGCGGAGACCGTAGACTGGCCGGCGGAGGCTCCACTGGGTACCAGGAGGAAACGACCCAGTAAAGCCAGGTGGGCGGCGCAGCCAGATCTCCTCGTGCAGGCTGCCCTGCAGGAACGCTGTGCTGAAGTCAAGAGAGTGAAGCTCGTAGTCACGCTGAGCAGCAACGTGTAGCAGAACCCGAAGAGTGGTCATCTTCGGGGTGGGGGAGGGGGTCTGGAAGAAGTCAACCCCCTGACGCTGACTGAAGCCTCTAGCAACGTAACGAGCCTTGAAGACAGGTGGAGAACCTGGCGGCCGCTTCACCCTGAAAATCCACATGCCATCGACGATGTTCGCCCCAGGAGGGGGAACCTCGTCGACGTAGGTGCCTGTGGACTTCCAGGATGCCATCTCTGCGTCCATGGCTGTCTGCCACTGAGAGGAGTAGGGACCCGAGATCGCCTCTGCGTAAGAGCGCGGAGTGGGGATGTCTAGTGCATCCGGGTCTCCCTCAGGGGCAAGCAACCAGGCCACGAGATGAGGTACAGCAGCCGCAAGAGAGTCAAAGTCCTCCTGCCTGTCCTCAAGGACGTCCGTGCCAAGAGCACACTCACCCCCGACGGACGGAGGACAGACAGACTCAGACCCGGCAACAAGACTGGCGGCGTAGTCTAGACGACAGGCAGCAGCAAAGTCGACAAGCTCAGCGACCAGGGCAGACGCAGCAGCAGACTCAAACGACGGGTCAGTGACAACAGTGGCGAGAAGACGGGTAACAGTAGGGTGGGCAGCACGAACACTGTCAGACTCAGGGTCGGGAACGTCAGGAAGAGAAGACGCAGGAGGAGACGGTAGGGGGACACGCTGTGGACCAGTGGAAGGACGAAGGGCCATAATATGCGTGCCAGGAACAGGAGGAGGACGCGGACGCGCGACACGACGACCAGTGGGACCAGTGCGCGCAGTGCGAGCAGCGCGAGCAGCGCGAACAGGCGAGGCAGGACGAGACGCAGGCTCACGACGCTCCGTAAGCGAGTCCGGCTGTGCAGTATAAGGCACAGGAGCAGGGAGGGGGGAGCCAGGCTGAAGGGGAAGGCCAGTGGAAGACGGGAGGGAAAGAACCTGGCGAAGAACCGTGTCAGGCGGCGGCAAAGCCGACGGCGACGGAGGAGCGAAGAACAGGCGCGACGGCGGAGCTCCGCCAGCACCTCCAGCACCCGGAGCACCAGAAGCACCTGGACCAGCACCCTCCGCCACAGCACCCCCCGAGTCGGCGACGTCAGCACCAGAGGCCCCAGCAGCGACAGACCTCCCCTCGCCAGCACCTCCAGAACCAGCAGGACCACCGTGTCCAGAACCGTCAGCTCCAGCGTCGTCAGCTCCAGCAGCTCCAGTACCGCCAGGAAGAGCACCCCCAGACGCAGCAACCCCAGGCTCCGTAGGCTCAGCAGCAGCACCCCCAGGCCCAGTACCCTCAGGCGCAGTACCCCCAGGCTCAGCACCCCCAGACTCCGTACACGCAGGCTCAGCACCCCCAGTCGTAGCACCCCCAGGCTCAGCACCCCCAGGCGCCGAACTCCCAGGCACAGTACCCTCAGCTCCAGTACCCGCAGTCCCAGCACTCCCAGGCCCAGCACCCGCAGGCTCAGCACCCCCAGGCTCAG